CTATTTATGTACAGTCTTGCTATACTAGTACTCTTTTGTCCTCACTCGATCTCTTGGACTGCAGCCAGGAGGTCCACATGTGTTGGCCGGCTCCAACCGTGTGCATTAGAGTTCCCCTTATTCTATTCTCATCTCATCATTCTTCATTGAGAAGGTCAAGCCTCGGATCAGATAAGTATTTGCTATTCCCTTCCCCATTCAGTTAGTGTAAAAGTGACTATTTACTATTCCTGTAACACTGAGGATCTTGTGTGATTGCGTGTGAGATTCTGTTTTTGTATGTATGTGGACTAAATATTATTCAGTAAAAAGAACTATTTGATTTTAATATACCATCCTCGTCTACATTTATCGCTGGGAAAATCCTCTGGGGGTAATTGGACTTCTGTATACAAAGGCAAGAACCACTAAACATTTTATCTGACCTCTGTTGTAGATAAAACAGATTGGCTAACAACAGACTGTTAAGTACACTCACCGCCACTGCCACATGGTGATTCCACAGGTTTTTTACTGACCTGCAAGATTGGTAGAATTAATTAACTAATGTCTGCTCAGTGAGTAGAGCACAGTTCAAACCTTTGAAGTTTAAAGTGTGTCTACATGAGTGTAAAACTGTGCTTCATTTGCACATGGGTTTGTGTTAGTGGGCAAACAACAAATACCATGTACACTATGTTGCTGTGAGGCTTCTCTCTTCACTATACCGGTTTGTCCACCCTCTGCCATCCTGGATCAGTCTCTCTGCTGGCCTCAGGATGGGAAGGAGAGGGGGCTCAGGCACCCTGGTCTTCTTTCTTCCGCCCAAGTGAGCACACCGTTACCCTCTCATCCTTTGGCACTTGGTTTTTCCTCCCTGACTCAGCTTGGAAGCCTCCCTTGTACACCACCCTTGGACCCACTCCTTGGACCCAGGACCCAGTGAGGGTATGGCCCCACCTCTTCCTGGAAGTGAAAAAAGCAGGGTGGGCACCCACTCTCAGGACTATCTGTCCTTTACTCTCCCTCCTGGGCTTTAAGAGTATCTGGCCCAACCTCCCTCCTCCATCTGTTTCTCACCTGACCCTTCCTGGCTGCTGGCCTTCACCTTATGGGTCATCACCAGCCTGTCCAGGTCTCCAGCCTCCTCTCTAGCAGCCATAGGAACTACTGTTTCCTAGGGACTGTTACTGCCTGCCCTGCTGGGCTGGCTACTGCTCCTGGGTTCCCTGCTGCCTCCCTCTCTGGGTAAGGGCTCTCATGGCACTAGGTTATTTGCAGCTTGCCCAGTGGGAGGGGGGCTAAGTCAGGCATGGGAGCTGGCCCTGAACAGTTGCCAAATATGTTTTGGCTATATAATCAGTGCAGAAGAAGTCACTGCAAATTGCACCAGGAGCAAATCAGTCACAGCACAGCTTCACAGGTTCCGTGGAACCATACCCTTTCACACTGTACCTCACAAGCAATGTGAATACAAACACTGTGACCTGCAGATACTCCCACTATGACGTAAAAGGGATGGTAGAGCAGCAGCAGCAACATTGTACACACAAATCATTATTCTTAAATTGGTTGCCAATGCTACAGGAATAAAATCTGGAAGTATCTCTGTCTCCTTATACCCAAACTGAATCTTTGTGCCATACTTCAAGAATTGAATTGTTTCTTCCATCAGCTGCATGGCAACCTCATTCATAGGTAAAAAGTTTCCTTCTATATTTAATAAAAGGCAGTTGAAGGCATTGCTCCCAGAGCTGTCACTAATGACTTTTGAAACTAGTTATTTCTTACCCAACTCCACATAATGCATTGAGATCTCTGGCAATCCGGGGGTACTGAGGGAGAAACACAAGTGGTTGGTTTCAGCTGTGAATCCATTTTCTTTTCTCTCTATTTTCATTTTATCTTTTCTTACTTTTGAGCACTAATATGTGACAGGGAGGTGGAGGAAGAAAGAGACCTGCTCTGACTTATGGATTCTATAGCAAACTCACCTATGTTTTGTGGCCCACTGTCCCCCTTTCTAAATAACTTAATAACTTGCTCATCAGAATTCTGGAGTTTTTACAGTTATAAAGAAACTACCAAATAGAAGACTCACCACAGGCTTTAGGATGAATGCCAAAATCTTCTTCAGCAGAATTGGAATACTGTAACACCTGATCTGGGATTTCACATTTGGATCAATACTGTCTCCTTTGCTGGGAGAGAGAAGTGAGGAAGCATTTTTAAGATTAACAATGTGAAAGGGAAGACAGAAAGAGAAGATGAGGACCCACTAGTGTCTACTCTGGTAGCAGCTCTCTAAAGTTTTGATTAGAAGCCTTTCACATCATCTACTACTTGATCTTCTTTACCTGGAGATGCCAGGGATTGAAACTGGGACTTTTGGCATGCAAAGTAGATGCTCTATCAGAGCCATGGCCCCTCAGCTATTGAAAATGCCTCAAAGTTCATTCTACAGCAAATAAAATTGGTATAAAAAGAAATATATCTATTATATAGTGTACACAATAATGTAATTAAAAGCATAGGGCCTGAATATCAGGCTATATTAAAAGTAATCAAGAATCAGTTTTACATAAGCTATTATAAATCCCTCAGACAAAGTTGATGATAAATACCAAATGACCAACACAAGACCATATGCATTTCGGCCTCAAAGGCCTTCCTCAGTGGTCAGTAGTACATAACATAGTTTTTAGAAACACATCCAGAAAATAAACAATGGCTCCAATCACACGCAGAAGTTGCCGCGGGATACTCATGGATGCCGGGCGGAGTTTACGGGCATGATCAAACGGGCACATCTGGCATGCTGGAAACATGCGCCAACAAACTGAAACCCCAATTCCCCGCCGTCGCATCTGATCGTGTTCGGGCGGGTCAAAGTGCGCCGGTGCAAAAAGCCATGCCCCCCCCCCCCCCCACGTTATCTGGCCTGTGTGACCGGAGCCACATATATCAGCCCTGACCAGGTGATGTTATCTCATATATTGTGTTGTTTGATATTAGCTTACAAAGCAAACCATGGATCCTGTCGCATGGTAACTATGATCATACATAAATTGACCATGGATACTATAATCTGGTACAGAATTTCAAGTATGCCCTTGGCTATTGACCCAACGTTTTCTTTAAAGATAAAGCCTCTTCTTACTGCCATTTGTCTGTGAACTTCCCACAGAATTCTCAATTTTCTTTACCAGTATTATATTATTAACCATTAAGTTTCTCCTTGTTCAGCTATACTTAGGTGAACACCATTAATTCAGTAACAAGCTGACTGATGGCTCAGAAGGCATCCTGAGCACTGTATTCTGCTATTCAAGACTGCAAAAATAATTCCCTGGGTAGACTAATCAAGCCCCAGCCAAGTTCAGTTTTCAGCAGGTCTACTTACAACTTATCCAATAAATTTGCAGCACCATCTGAAAAGAGGCCTCTGGTGAAGAGTTCATCTACTGCATAGACAAGTCGTGGAGGAACAAAGGGAATAAGCTGTGTGTAAAAGATAACTGGTTTGATTGTCCATGGAGCTCAATTGTTAGAAATTCAAAAAAAGAAGAAAACACCCTAGGCTAGCATTTAGGGGACGATTTAAAAAAATAAATAAAGAAAACACACCATGTGTCCTGCTGCATGGAGGAGATGTTTTGTTTCCCGAACAGCTCTTCTCATGCTGGGAGATGGCTGGAAATACCCATCATCTTCATAATATCCAATCCGAAGGGGGTTTGAATTGTTATAAAGCTAGAAGAAGAAAAAGAGAACAAAGTTGTATTTACTGCTGAAGCACTGAAGAGCCTTGTATAATATAATCCCATTACGGACCGCTACAATATGACTGCCTCTTCATCATATAAGTCAATGCATTTTTATGTTGGCAGAAGATAGATAAGAATTTAACCTCAAAGTTATATCCTCTGTTTATTTGAAGGAAACAATTAAACAAATTGTCTGCATATCTTTTGAATATTTCAAAACTAATGTTTAAGGCACAGGAGACTGACCAGCAAAGACCAATGAGTTGCTGTAGGAGTTATGGAAAACACACCCCTTCTTTCTGAGTCCAATTACCTCTTCATTGAATAGTATGGGAGGCACAGATGGGTCCAGGTGGAACAGCTCATCACACAGAAGCGCCTTCATACACAGAACCAAGCTGTCCACATCTCTTGCCATTGGGCCAATCGTTGCAGTAACTGAAAAGTAAATGAAGATTTTGGAGAGGGAGAATTTTATGACCTCATCTATTCACTCTTAGGCAAGAGAAGATGACTTTAGCGGTCTCTTAGGTCCTTAGCAGTCATTTCAATTGATATACAATGGAATTGAATAGTGGGTGGGGATACAGCTATGAGCCATGCCTTCATCACCAGAAGCCCCAGATGTGATTGTGTGCTATCAGAGTCTTCATTTGAGAAGCTTGGAGCAACTCCAGAACCTCCCAAGCATGTGAGATCTGTTTAGCACTACCAATGTGAGGGAATTATATACCTTTAGGACAGTTGCAGCCTAGGATTGGCATTGGGGTAGTACATAAACACCTAGTTTCTTTAAATGAAACTAAGTCCTCGGGGCCAGATGAACTCCATCCAAGGGTACTAAAAGAACTCATGGATGTAATTTCTGAGCTTCTGTCCATTATTTTTGAGAATTCTTAGAGAACAGGTGAGGTGCCAGAAGACTGGAGGCGGACAAATGTTGTCCCATCTTCAAGAAGGGGAAAAAGGAGGATCCGGGTAACTAGAGATCCATCCATTTGATGTATATACCTGGAAAAGTTTTAGAAGAAATCATCAGTCAGTCAGTCCTTAAGCATTTAGAAAGGACAGCTATGATTACTAAGAGAAACATGGGTTTCTCAAGAACAAGTCATGTCAGACTAACCTTACCTCTTATTTTGAAAAAGTTCCTGCCTTGCTGGGTCAGGGGAATGCTGATTTCAGTAAGGCTTTTGTAACGATTCCATGTTTTTTTGTGTGTGTGTCTTTAAAAGGTTGGTTTACATTGCTGTGTGAAAGTCTAATGTGGTTGAATCAGGCAAGTGGTGTGATTGGTGAGTGACAGAGAGGGGGAGGGTTTTTGGAATGGATGCTGTGTGGATGATTTGAATGTCTATCTGGTGTGTCTGTTAGGTATGACAGTTGATTAAAACAGTTAGTCAGTTAAACAGTTGATGAGTTAGACAGCAGAGAGTGCTGTATAAAAGCAGTTAAAATGAGAGTTGTCCTGAGGTCCCTGTGAGGGAAAGATTGGGTTCTGTGTAGTAAAAGAGTTAAGCAGTTTGTTCGTTTTAAGGTCTGAGAGAGAGAAGTCTGGTGTGTGTTATGAAAAGTTAAAGCATAAAGAAACAGTAACCATATATGGCCTAAGGAAAAGATTGTTACAAAGTGACATGCCCTGATCCCTGTCAATAAGAGGGAAGAGTGTGTGAACATCAAATAAATCTACTTTTATTTAAGACACAAGTTTTGAACGAAATTCTTCCCAGGAAACACTTAGTCCTTCGAGAGCCCAAACCCTGGGTCACAATACCAAAACCAGTAGGAAAAATATTAAAGGACAAGGTCCGGGAAAGCCTAAATTTCCCTGGTGGCAGCCAGATTACCCTGAGAGCAAACATAAAGAACATTTTAAAAGTAAAACTAGACCTCCCCAAATAAGAGGTCGTCACAGCTTTTGATAAGATTCCACATGATATTCTTGTTGACAAGTTGGTAAAATGTGGTTTGGATCCTGTTAGCTTTAGTTGGATCTGTAACTGGCTAACCAATCATACCCAAAGAGTTAATTGTTCTTCATCCTCTTGGAGAGGAGTGACAAGTGGAGTGCCTCAAGGATCTGTCCTGGGACCTGTTTTGTTCAACATCTCTATAAATGACTTGGATGAAGGAATAGAGGGAATGATTATTAAATATGCAGATGACACTAAATTGGGAGGGGTAGCAAATACAGTAGAAGATAGAGTTAGGATATAGGATGATCTGGCTGGAAAACTGGGCTAAAACTCAGGCGTATGAGTAGGAGCCACCACTGCCACTGCCATTACCATCACCGTTCTCCAGAGAGTGTTACCGCCGGAAGACCATGGAACATCTAAGCAGGGCCCGAGTCTTCCCCTCTGCTGTGCAGAATGTGGAGTAATTTCTTCTCTCTCTTGCACTCAGATGGAATTGAATTCTTAAATTGTTTTTATTCATTTTATATATTGTAATTATATATATGCACTTCGTGCTCGTGTAAGCCGCCCTGAGCCCATTCGCGGGAAGGGCGGGGTATAAATGTAATGAAAACAAAATAAATAAATAAAATAAAATAAATAAAAGAAAAGAAAAGAAATAAAATGAATTTCCGTGGGGATAAATGTAAAGTTCTGCATTTAGTTAGGAAAAATTAAACGCATAATTATAGGATGGGGAAGACTTGTCTTGGCAGTAGTATGTGTGAAAAGGATCTAGGGGTCTTAGTAGACCATACACTGAACATAAGTCAGCAGTGTGATGCGGTAGCTAAAAAGCCAAATGCGATTTTGGGCTGTATCAACAGAAGTATAGTGTCCAGATCATGTGAAGTGATGGTATCACTTTACTCTGCTCTGGTTAGACCTCACCTGGAGTATTGTGTTCAGTTTTGGGCACCACAATTTAAGAGGGATATACAAGCTGGAATGTGTCCAGAGGTGGGCAATGAAGATGGTGAGGGGTCTGGAGACCAAGTCCTATGAGGAAAGGTTGAAGGAGTTCGGCATATTTATCTTGGAAAGGAGAGGACTGAGAGGTGATATGATAATCATCTTCAGGGGTCATTTGGGGTCAGAGTGCGCCGGAGCACTGCTCTGGCAGCCCAGGAGCGGGCACAAGCCCCACCCCCAGCTCCCCGCCCTGCACGCCACAGTAGCAGCATGACTCCAAAGAGAAGGGGTTTAAACTTGACCCCTTAGAATATAATGGGAAGATCACGCCGCCCCTACGGTGTGACTCCAGAGAGAAGGGGTTTAAAGTTTAAACCCCTTCTCTCTTTGCTTCCCCCCCACCCCACCTTGGCAGGCCAGCTGGGGAAGCAAAAAAGGGGGGAGGCATCTTTAAATTCCTCCCCTCCTCTTCCCTTCCCCAGCCGGCCTGCCAAGGTGGGGTGGGGTGGGGAGCGAAGAGAAGAGAAGGGGTTTAAAGTTTAAACTTTCTTTGCTCACTGCCCGCCCGGGGAAGAGAAGGGGAGGCTTTTGAAGATGCCCCCCCTTTTGCTTCCCCTTCTGACATCACTTCCGGCGATGTCAGGGGGCATGGCATATGCTAATAGGCTATTATCATAATAGCCTATTAGTTATGCTAATGAGCTCCTGCAGCTCTTTTCCTACAAAATGACCCTGATCATCTTCAAGTACTTGAAGGGCTGTCATATAGAGGATGGTACAGAGTTGTTTTCTGTTGCCCCAGAAGGTCGGACCAGAATGAACAGATTGAAATTAAATCAAAAGAGTTTTCGGCTAAACATCAGGAAAAACTTCCTCATAGTTGGAGTGGTTCCTCAGTGGAACAGGCTTCCTGAGGAGGTGGTGGGCTCTCCTTCTTTGGAGGTTTTTAAGCAGAGGCTAGATGGCCATCTGACAGCAAAGCTGATTGTGTGAACTTAGGCAGATTATGAGAGGGAGGCAGGGGTCATTTCGTAGAAGAAGAGCTAGGGGAACTCATTAGCATAACTCATTAGCATATGCCACACCCCCTGACATCAGGGGCTCGGCGGTGGACCTGCAAGGCCTGCGGGAGTGCAAGGAAGCCCCGCCAAGGCCCTCCCTGGCCCCAGGCAGGCAGGGGTAGGGAGAGGCAGGGAGGAAGCAACTTACCCTCCCTCTTCTCCTGCCTCCTCCTGGCTGAATGAGGGCTGGAAGCGGGGCGGCCAGAAGCAGGGGGCGGGGCTTCGTCATGTGCCCCACCCCCTGCACCTCACCCGGGGGAACTGCGTTCCCCCGCGTTCCCCCCCAAAATGACCTTTGGAGGGAGGGACGGAAGAGTTGCCTCAGTGCTTAGTTCTCATGGCCCTTTCTTACACACCCAGGAAAAGGCTCATTGCTACTTTGGGGTCAGGAAGCATTTTTTTCTCCAGGCCAGTTTTGGCCAGGAAACCTGGAGGTGGTGGTGTTGTTGTTTGCCATGTTTTGGACATGGAACATACATAACTGGGGGTGGGGGGGAGGTATTTGTGAATGTCCTGCATTGTACATGGGGTAGACTAGATGACCCTGGAGGTCCTTTCCAGCGTTATGATTCTATGATTCTCTCTGGGATTACTCGTTTTGCCCCAGCACTGCTGACTAGTTAAGAAAGTCAGCAAAGGCTGAAATGATTAAAGCTAATGATCTCAGGAAGTATAAATAAGACTATTAAAGTAAAACAATGCAAAAATTGATTTGTGAATTCACAAAGGGAGCACTATCCTGATATTTTTCAAATACAACAAATTTCTCCTACAAAACGGAGCATAGGTTTTCTTGACCATTTGGAATAAATAAAATTACTTACCCGACTTCATACCACCAATAGGGCTAGCAAGGCCAAGGGTGCTACAAAATGTGCAAATAAGACAACATTATTTACTTTAAACACCATCGAAACAGCCAGCCATGCTTCTGATGCAGATCTTAGACAGATATTTAAAGCAAGTAAGGGCAGTGCACAATGTCAGCACTGGTTGTAATGTATTCCTTGACAACATATATTAAAGAAAGGGGAGTGGGGGGAAATCAAGATGGTTTAGGTTCCAGTTTTTTTCTGTTGCACTCTAAGAATGATGTATGCATCCAGTCCATGTTACCCTCCTGCTGATTTTGCGTGGTTGGAGCACTTTGGGTACATTCATAAAATGATTGTTATAATCTCTTATAATTATTATTACTGTTTGATTGTATTTATCTTATGTTTTGTACAGATCTGCCATTTTATTCTGGTTATGGTTTTTACATTGCATTCCAAAATGTTAAGGTGTGGGGAAAAATTAAAGAGAAAGCAAATACACAACATTTCATTTTCCAGACTCTTCATGAATTTAAGCAGTACAGACTGCAAACATTCATTTTACAATTTTCATAATTTAATTCCTTTGAAAGTCATTTGCCATTTAATTGCAATTTGGTAATATCTTTGGAATGAATTGTGAAGATTTTGTTTCTTTTTGAGTAAGCTGATCGTCATATTGCCATCATACAATAATAAAAATAAAAAATGAATACAAATAACGGCAAAAACAATAGTAATGTAATGACAATAACATTAGTTACAAGTTAAACATCTGCTGATCTTCAATTTCTGAATTAAAAAAAAACACTTCTTGTTTCTGCTATAATTAAGTCTCTCCTGCTATTGCTAGAAAAACAGATTTCTTAGTTCTCAGATGTTTGGCCAGTGAAGATTACAAAACCTACCTCAGCCGATTTCCTGTTGGCTTGAGACCACAAAGCCCACAGAAGCTGGATGGCAGGCGGATGCTCCCAGCAACATCAGTCCCAAAGCCTAGGATGGACCCTCCTCCAGCAATAAGTGCCCCTTCACCTCCAGAGGAGCCACCAGGGCTCTTCTTGTGGTTCAGGGGGTTCAGCGTTTGACCAAAGATTGGGTTGCTGCAGTCATAGCTTAAAAGAAATGGGAAGCAGATTGAATGTTCATGTTTTAGCTCATCATTGTGCCTCAGACACAAAACAAAGCATAGAATAATATGTCAAGAATGAAAAGACATGGAAACAACATCAAGAGAAAATTGAGGGAAGGCAAACATGCTTAACTATGCCATGAAGGGTAGTGCACAGTAAGAATGCAATTTTAAGAATGATCTTCCTGAATAAGCTCACATGTCCATCTAGGTCAACAATCTCCACAATCTCTAGATGTCCCTGCAAAGCTCATAAGAATGGAATGATGGAGACAGCTGTACCCTGTGCTTGTCTCCAATATCTGTAATCACAGATATATTTCTTCAGAACTATCTGGTTCACATCATAGAGTTGTAGATTTCCTAAATTTTGTGCTGTCTGAAAAACAACACTTCCTCTTTGTCTTGAACCTGCTGCCAATCAACTTCATTGGAAGACCCCAAGTTCCATATCTTGGACAGGAAGAATTATTTCTCCACACCATTCCTAAATCATATCACTTTTTCTTTCCTATTTTAAAAATCCAGCTTCTTCAGCTTTTCTTTATCCCCTTTATCCATACAGTTGTGAAGAGAGAAAGATGTTGATTTACAACAACAACAAGAGCCAATGGATACTTTATCATGCTCTGGGGGATGTTGGTCTTCACAAACGGGATTGCCCCCTGCTTCTTCAAAACCTTCACTATCACACTGTCATCCTCTTCCACTTTGCCCAGATAATGCACCAAACCACATGTGGAGATGTGACCCTTTGGGAGAGAAGAAAACAGCTGGGCTGACTACATGGACTAAGGACTGTTAGATTTTGCCTATTGAAAACTAAACTGTTAGACTTGGTTGGAAGTACAGGAATGTAAAGGGTTTTTGTTTTGTTTTTGTCTGTTGCGGGGAAGGCATTCATTTGAAATAGTTACATCCTGGCCTTATATCCTTGGACTCAGAGTGGTTAACAGCACAATAACAAGTTGCAAGGACAGAAAAATAAGGTAATGCACACACAAAACCATTTCACTTCCTCCCCCAGCACAGGTCTGTTAATGAATTTACTGTTATTGCCATTGAATATGATTACCCACTGCTGGGACAGAGGGGTGGGAAACATGACATAGACTGGTTTATTTCTAGTCAGGATGGCAACCTTTTATGGGTAAAACAGGAGGATACACATTTACACAAATACAAAAATTCAAGAAAACACATTGTTCACTAGCAATTCATTACTGATTTTAGAGTAAGTGCCCTAAAACAGAAGAATGCATCCATATCATGCACACTCAAATCAGAACGCAATTTGATCCCCCCTCCCTTCCCAGCAGGGGTCGTTTCGTAGAAAAAGAGCTAGGGGAACTCATTAGCATAACTCATTAGCATATGCCACACCCCCTGACATCACCGGAAGTGTGTCATAAGGCCACACCCCCTGACATCACCGGAAGTGTGTCATAAGGCCACACACCCCGCCCCCAACGGTCCCGGCCGCCGCTGCCGGCCTTGCAGCTCCACTGCCGAGCCCCGTGAGGGGCCCAGCAGTGGACCTGCAAGGCCGGCGGGAGTGCAAGGAAGCCCCGTGAAGGCCCTCCCTGGTCCCAGGCAGGCAGGGGTGGGGAGAGGCAGGGAGGAAGCACTTACCCTCCCTCTTCTGGCTGAATGAGGGCCGGAAGCGGGGCGGCTGGAAGCAGGGGGCGGGGCTTCATCATGTGCCCCACCCCTGTACCTCACCTGGGGGAACTGTGATCCCCCGCGATTCCCCCTGAAATGTCCTCTGTTTCCCGGAAGTGGCAGTGCAAAGCTATGTGATCAGAAGTGGGCCATACTGTACTCCATTTTACAACAGACTTGCACAGTGACCAACCCTGACCTAGTTGATGTTCTATGAAAATCCTGATCACATTGTACCTCCTGTTTGATGGCTGCAACACACAGGTTTGACTTTGATGTAACACTAAACCATGGCGTGGTGTTCTGTGAATGAATCTGGACAGTCTTTTGGTGAAAGAGGAGGCAGCAAGTAGACAGTGGGGCAGGAGGGGGAGGAGGGAGCGTGGAAGACTGAACATTTGTCCGGAACCATTCATGTAGCAATGTTTGAACCAAGTTACAGGAGGATCACTATAAGGTAAATGGCAAATGCAAGCATTTTAGGATCAAGAGGGGACCAACTACCTTGCATCCAATGTGGTCCTTAATGCTGACAGGGATCCCATACAGCAAGCCTTTCTCCTTTTGTTTCTTGATGTCCTGAAGCTGCTCCTCACATCCATGAATGAAGTCCGTCACACAATTCACCTCCTGGGTCACTTCCAGAGCCTTAATGCAGAAAAGAGTCATCAGTGAGAACAGTTAGGGGGAACAACATGTAAATTGTTTTAAAGGAATTCCTGATAGGAGTTCAAAAGGTCAACATTGTCAAATATTCCAGGTTCACTGTAATACCACTTCCCCCCCACACACTTTTTCTATGTAGACCTCCTCAATTTGGTTTATCATATTTGAATTACTATAAAATAAGTAGTGAATTGCAGCTCTTCCTAGACCTGACATTTCTTGCTATGAGACCATTAAGATTTAGTCAAATTATATCCAGTGCCACCATAGGATAGTCACAGGCATGCTTTGTAGGATCCGGTTAAAACTATTGATTAATTGGTTTTTAGCCCACCCTTCCTCCAAGGAGCTCAGGTTGGCAGCAATCCAGTGAGGGAGGTTAAGCAGAAAGGCAGTGCTTGGCCCAGGATCATACAGTGAGTTTGATGGCAAGTGGGGATTTAAACCTGGGCTGCTCTACTTCGACTGCTACCTGTACCACTATGAATTCTTTATCATATAAACCTCCAAAAATGAGGCATGGCTTTTAAATACTGTATCAAGAATGCCAGTTATCAGGTTTATGGAACAGCTATCTGAGTGACCACAGGACTCCCTGAGCCCAAGGGGATCAGAGTTACCCTCAGCAACACAAGCAGTGCTGTTAAGCCGATTCCTGAGAGGTAGGAAAAATAAAAGTTGAAGGTACAATAAAGGTAGTAAACAAAACTGTATTACTTGGATGGAAACTCTATGGCCAAGTTCAAACTGGCAGTTTGCCCCAATATAGGCACGTGTGAGGAACGTTCCACAAGTGGATTAAAGGGGCCGTTCACACAGGTACATCTGTCTGGCGTTCCCCATCCATACTCAACCCGTCTTGTAGCGCTTGCCTCCCGGGTTTAAAAGTGGTAGCAAACCCTGGAGAGACCATTTATCCCGCTTCATTCCACTTCCTGGAAGTGTGAACGCTAACTGCTAAAAGCCGGGAACAACCCATGTTAATAATGTGCTCCGGCTGTTTACGCTGACTGACCTCCTAGCCTCACTCTGGCACCAGGAAGGTGCAGGTGATTGCCTTGAAGAGGGGGTAGTGATGTGGCCAGATGTGCCTATGGCTCACAGCGGCCAGATCCTGCCCAATTTGCCGCTGTGCCTAGGCACCTAGGCACCCATGTGCATAGGTGTCTGCCACGAGGAAAACACTGCTTACAGCCACGCCTCCAGGCCAACAGTGTGAACACTCTCTCGTGCCTCCTACCGGTATGCTCCCACATCAGTCTGCTTAGTGTGACCAGGAAAACCCAGAACAGTTTGTTCTGGCTCTTTTTTGCAACGACTCCCTCCCGCTTCAAACTGCCAGTCTGAACTCGGCCTTTGAGACTCACAATGGCATGACTACCAAACAAGGCTGGATCTTAAGTTAAATTTTATAATGTTGAAAATACTGAACTCTTTAATAATGTACTATCATGAAAGACATAATAGCATATTAATTGCTTTCAAAATTATTTATATTTACATCAGAATTCCTGAAAATGTTGTATATGTCTACAGTATTAGAGTGTCTTTTTCTCCAGTGCTCCCTCAAATTTCCCAACTTTCCATGGGAAAAAATGAGAACGTTGTCAGACTTCTTATGCTGTAGATTTGGAATGAGTAGAAATGCTTTGTAAGACAAGGTTTTTCTCACTAAAAAGAGAAAATATTGTGTAGGATTTTTTTTCAGTAGTTTCCAAATTTTCTGTTGCAAAAACTGGGGGGGGGAAGCCCTCAGATATTTTCATGCTATCTATTTTAAGTGTGAAGTAATCCCCTTTAAGAAGCATTGTACTCATTCTAAAGAGAACATATTTCATGGGAGGTTTTTTAGTGTTTCACCTAATTGCCCAATTTTTCTATCAGAAAAATGTGTGGGTGGGTGTGCGCGTGCGCGTGTGTCAAATGTTTCCAATTTTCCACCCAAGACCAATGGTTCCCTCTAAGCTGTGGAGTCTTGTGAGCAAAAATTCTACTTTGTGAGCTAGTGGCATTAAAGTTGTGAGCAAGTGATTTGGCTACTGCATAAATTAGTTTGCTCTGGGGCCATTCTTCCTGCGCTAAGACAAAAATGTCTGAGCCGGAGGCTACAAAACTGTAAGCTAGCTCACACTAACTCAGCTTACAGGGAACACTGCCCAGGACTTACGTTTTATTAGTGAGGGTAAAGAATTGCAAGTGTTGTTCATTCAGTAGCCACCATGTGGCAATATAGCAACACGTACTCATTCTAGCATGGGTCTCTGGTTGTTTCCCAGCATTGCTCCCTTCAGCTGTTGGCAGCTGGTCCCGTATTTGGTTCCATCTTCACCAATGGGGAAAAAAATTAAAGTGGTACACATAGGCTGTCACATTGATGGTGCTGATGTTTTGAAACTTAATCCCCACAGGTTTGCAGGTCACCAGGCTTATATTATTTCATTCTCTTAAGCCTTTTAGTACTCCTGGTAGGGTTGCCAGGCAGCCAGTGGGAGACTGGGGGGGGGGGGCATCAGCAATGAACATACATATGAAGCTGCCTTATACTGAATCAGACCATCGGTCCATCAAGATCAGTATTGTCTACTCAGACTGGCAGCAGCTCTCCAGGTTCTCAGGCTGAAGTCTTTCACATCACCTACTACCTGGTCCTTTAACTGGAAATGCCAGGGGTTGAACCTGGTACCTTCTGCATGCCAAGCAGATGCTCTGCCACTGGTCCACAGCCCCTCTGGTGTGATATCGCTTCCATGAAAACCTGGAACTGATGTCACACTTCTCTATGTTGGTTATAAATTCCTAATCTTTTTTATAATGATCTTAGGCTATGGCTCTCTTTTAATGCTATTTTTAGGATATTTATGATCTTATCCTTTTAATCCGATGATTTTTCTTGGTTTGATCTTGTGATTGTGTGCAGTGTTCTGATGATTTTAATGGCTTTTATTAGCATATTACTATACTGTTACTGTTGTTTCATACTTCTTTGCCACATAGAAACATACCATAAGACTTCTAAATAAAACAGGACCTCTTAGTTTAAAACCCAGACAGGTCCTGAGAAAGAGGGCAATCCAAAGGCAGAGACCACCGCAGAGACCACCGTCTCTGGTCTCCAAGTATCTCACCTCTGGAGGGAGGGGCACAGAGCAGGGCGGGAAAAAAGGATCTTAATTGGGAGGCTGGATGTCAGCACAAATTTCGTAGAACTTAAATACCTTAGGCAAATAAAAGACCTAGAAATATTTTAGGATGTTTTATTTTGTAAGCTGCCCTGGGCAGGTTCCCCAGCCAGGCAGCATAAAAATCCAATTAAACAAACAAACAAAGGTACGTGTTTCCACGTAGGAAGTGAAGCTGCAGTCCACACACTAAATAGCAACATGGAAGAAAATCCTACAAGTAAAGCAGCTCCACTAGTCCCTATTGCACTCACCTGGCTAATGTAAGCATACAGGACACTCTCTGGAGAAAGAGTCTCCTCCTGCAGTTTCTCTGCCAGTTTCACTAGTGACAGGGACAGAATACTCTCTGTTTGTAATCCAGGGTTCTGCAATAGGAGGCAGAAACGTTACAAGGGAAAAAGATATCTGGAAGTCTTGTCTCAGACATAGGTATACAAGTGGGAACCCACAATAACTTACTTACAGGCAGAGCTTTTTTCCTGGGGGAATGCACGGGAACAGAGTTCCAGAACCGACAACATTCTTCTAAAAATGTTTGAAAGTTCATGAGCTTTCAGTATACAGATTGAAAACTTCATTTCCCTCTTGAGAGTTCCAGCACCCCTTTCGAAAGAGAGAGAGAGAGAGAGAGAGAGAGAGAGAGAGAGAGAGAGAGAGAGAGAGAGAGAGAGAGAGAAAAAGAAATAGAGAGAGAGAGAGAAAGAAAGAAAGAAAGAAAGAAAGAAAGAAAGAAAGCCCTGCTTACAGAGCACATCTAATTTCCCCTTCCCTGAAAACCCCCACAGCCTCTCTTTTTCCTGCACCCTCTCTTCTTCCCATCCACCAGCCAACCTAATTTTATTCTGCCCCCCTCCCCCCCCTTATCTTCAGTTTTCCCTCCTTCCCTACCCCTGGAAGCCTCTTACCTGGAAAACTATGGCCTAGTGATATGCTGCTGGTTGCAGCAATGGACCCAGTTGCACAGTGGAGAACCTGCAAGGACTTGCAAGAGTCACCTGTTTTCCCCTGTATCACCTTCCCCACACTATTCCCTCTTTTCCTCCTCCTGGCAACTCCTCATGGCCTCTCAGTTTGGTGTAGTGGCTAAGAGCACGAACTCTAATCTGGGAGAACCGGGTTTGATTCCCCACTCCACATGCAGCTGCTGGTGTGACCTTGGGTCAGTCACAAGCAGTGTTCCCTCTAAGCTGAGTTAGTGTGAGCTAGCTCACAGTTTTTTAGCCTCTGGCTCACACATTTTTGTCTTAGCTCAGGAAGGATGGTTCCAGAGCAAACTAATTTATGCAGTAGCCAAATCACTTGCTCACAACTTTAATGCCAGTGGCTCAAGAAGTAGAATTTTTGCTCACAAGACTCCAGGGAGCATTGGTCACAAGTTATTTCAGAGCTGTTCTCTCAAGAGCAAAAGAGCTCTCTCAGCCCCACCTACCTCAAAGGGTGTCTGTTGTGGGGAGGGGAAGGGAGATTGTAAGCCACTCTGAGACTCCTTCAAGTAATGAAGGGCAGGGTATACATCCAATCTCCTCCTCCTTCATTTGCAGCCAATATGGAGAAGGGGCAAAACTGAATTCAGCCTTCAAAACAGTAGAATTCAGATCTACATTTCTTCCTTGTCCATCCTTTAAGCCCTTCAACTGCCTTTTTGTCACTTTGCAGCTGAGCCACAGTGCAGTTTTGTGCCATGGCTCAAGTAGGAAGGGGGAGGGGTTGTTACCGGCAGTGGAGCATGTGACTGTGGTTGTATCAGCACTTCTGCACTGATACAATAGAACGCAAGGAGCAGGGGCATGAAGGGCAACATGCAGACTCCATCCCCACTTGCTCCCACTCCACTGTCTGCTGCTTCCACAGGGGGAGCATCTTTTCCTTCCTTGTGTGGAAGCAAAGCAACTAAATTACACTAGATGTTTGGTCATGAGCCGAGCCAGGCCAGGGTTATCCCAACTTGACATGCGTTCCTCACAGCCAGATGGCAGTGGCAGGAAAACGCCCCCTCACACATACACTAGGATGGAACCTGATTCAAATTGGGCCATAGCTTTTTCTGCCTTCTCCCCCATGCCCTTTTCCCAATCTGAAATAGCCCCAGGAAAGTATCATTTGCTCCTATGCACTGTTGCATGTACACTGCACATGCTCCCCCCCCAGTGGGGCAAATTAACATCCCCAGAGATATTATGGGTTAGGACAATGACATGGGAGGGGGAGACTGAAGCCTCTACTTTCCCTGCACCATGGTCCTGATCTGAATTGTGACCTGCAGCTCTTGGAAAATAAGGTTCTCTGCAGCTGCCATCTGGCAGTAAGACATTAGTTGGGTTGGGAGAACCCCAACTAGACTTGTTGCCAAATTGGTTGTGTAGTCTGGCACTGTTCAGTCTGTAACATGCTTAGTGGCTTCTGATCACCGTAGCTCAGTCCATCCCAGGGTAATATGGCTGTTAGGAAAGCACCTTGGGAGTGCAGGATCTGATGTGGAACCTTATTTTTGAGAAGAGAAACCCCCCCCCCCGCTCCTGATGGTGGCAAGCTTCCCTCTCCCCTCACTGTGGAATTTGGGGGGGGGCAATCATGGAACATGAGAAAAGACAGCTCCGAGGGTATTTAAATACCTTTTGAGATCCCTTCTATGGGGCAAGAAAGCCTAGAAGGGCACTCAAGAGTGGTACCTTCAGTACATCTCCAACAATCCCCCTTTCTGCTAGCTCTGCTGTATAAGAGGTGCCGAAAGTATCACTCTTAAGTGCTCTTCTAAGCTTTCTTGCCCCATGGAAGTGAACTCAAAAGGTCTGACGGCAATTAAATGCCCCCTGAGCTGTTTTTTTTCATAGGAACTGACACCTTGCTGCCTTGTCCCTTGAAAGGAATGGCTAGAAACAGGCTCAGAGCCTCCCCCTTTAAAGACAGGTGTTCAGATAAATTAATTTTACAAATTAATTTTAAAAAAATGAAATGCCCCCTCCAACAGAAAGTCCTGGCTATGGGCATGTAAGCCTTCACAGAGGCAACTTTGCTCTGGTGAGGTGAAAATATCCCCAGTAAATAAATATTTCTGCTTGAGTGGTGGAATGAGGGTGGAAACCTAGAGCCATGCACAGCTGGGTAAATTCCCCAGGAAGAATGGGAATGGTGCACGATCCTTTTTGCCACAGAGATCATGAGAAGGCTGGGGCAAGAGACTACTGTGGGGTTCAATCATCAATATGAACTCCAGTCTTCCAAATTATTATCTGAAGAATTTTGCCTCAAACCTTAGAATGTGTTCTGGTAGTTTTTAAATACATTAGTTCATTTTTGAGATATGTGCATTTTAGAAATTGGGTTAATTAATCAGTGGTGATGGAAAGTGCCGTCAAGTCACAGCTGACCGATGGCAACCCCGTAGGGTTTCCAAGGCAAGTCGCATTTAAAGGTGGTTTGCCACTGCCTGCCTCGTCATGACCCTGGTATTCCGAACATTCAGAAATCACTCAGGTTTCATTTTGCAACCAGGACTGACAAAAAAAAACCTGAGAAGAAAGGATTCTAACAATCAGAGATTTAAGAGCCACCAGATGTTCTTGCATAGAGGTCCTTGTTTCACTGCAATATTTCAGCTTACTTAAATACTAAATACCCACTTACAGTGAAGGTGGATGCTACTGACACTATTAGTAAGGTGAGGTCTCATTCTTTATTCAAGCACAGGCAATATCCTGCTATTCAGGGCTGCATTTGAAAACTTACCTTGAATCCCCCCCTCAAATCTTGACGAAAAAAATCAACTCCGATACTAAATTGACCCAGCTGATTTGTGTCCAACATAGCTCATTTGGACTCTTTCTTTCAGAAATGCCAAAGGCTTAAAAACAATCACTTCAGAGGAAGTGATCAGAGCTCACTGTGAGAAGAGGCCTCCATACCACTCCCAACCCAAGGGGGGGGGGATCACCTTCTGCTTGAATTTCAAAACCGCTCTTTCCATTTGCTTCAGGCTTCTGTCTCGCCACTGCCTGGCCTCGTTCATCTTCCTCTGGACACTTCTGTGCAGCACCCATTTCCACACCACCACAGCTGCCACTGAGCCACAGGCAAGGGCTGCAGAAGCACGTAGCCCATCCACAGGCAGGCTCTCCCTCAGCATCTCCAGGTTCATGGCAAAAGCTCTTTGTTACCTTTGCCCAGTTGGCTCTCTCACATGGGTAGGCAGTGTCCGGTGCTATCTAGTGATACGCTGCAGAGCTGTTCCAGATCAGGAGGAGGGTCTCAAACTTCAGGCCAAGACTACTCCCAAGACATCTCAGAACCCGAGCCTCGTTTATATGTAGCTAAGCAGCTAAGGGAATTTTTTTTCTCTTGTTAAAACCAAATACCTCTACTCCCCCCTCCCCAAACATAACTCAGTTACACAGAAATAAATATTAATAAATGAAGGACAATTTTTAAACATATATTTGTATTTTTAATGACACACCAATGATTCACAAACAAAATAAAGCCCATTTCATAACTCTTTAAAAAGTTACAAATCTATAAAACGATAACAAGCTCTTTCATCTATACGGAAATATTTTAAATGAATATAAATGTCTCTCAAAATCCACGCCAATTAGGGCTACAGGAGTAACCTTTAGGACTTTGAATTGTGGCCAAGAAGGAAGAGGCAGACTCTTAACTAAAACCAAAAGCTCACTGGCATGCTTGGGAAGCTGCAATATTAACCCACTCCCATACTGCCAAGTGACTTATTAATGGCCGCCCTTTGTACCCTGTCTCTTGCACACCAGTGACTCTGCTCTCGTTTTTAAAAGTCACTGCAGGGGGGTGAAGAAGGTCCTTACATTCTTTCCTTTCTGTTCAGCATTTCAACTCCCAGTTTCCAGAACAAACGGGCAAACACTCCCTGCCTCACCACTCAGGGCTGTGCTAATACAGCAGCGGCAGCAGCACAGATTCCAAAGACCCTTTGCTGGAAGCATTCACAGAGGGACAAGCAAGCATGTGACTGTTGCTGCAATTTCATTGGTCACGTGACACAGAAGCACTGAAATGATTTAATCAAAGACAGTGTCAGATCCCAGAGCCCAGCTGTTAGATCGCGCTAACAAAGGACTCGTACAGTGATTCAGCAAGTGATTCAGCTTTATTGGAAGTAACGAACAAGCACTAACTCAGTAAGAAACCAGAACAGAAAACAGTGGGAGCTTATGCTCCTTTTAAACATAACCGGGCTAATGTAGCCACGCCTATTTACAAATAACAACCAATGAGATTGCTAGAATAAAGACCAATGGGAGTCTTTCCCTCCTAGGGAATGGTATCGTTCTGATTGGTCGCTGTTACGAAGCGACCAATAGGAAGTTCGCTCAGAGGAGCCCTGGTCTGGCTCGAAGCTTAACAGGGGAGTCCTATGAGGTGATTCATGTAATCATTTCAATACATTACAATTCCTCCCCCCTAAGTTAAGCCATCATCCCAATTGTTTTATTATTTACAAACATGCAATCAACCCTTGTACATCAGTTATTCCAACAGTATTTACACTCATAGTCCTTCAGATAAGTCGGCATTTGCCGCGAACGCTGGGACCTGCGGAGCGGTGCAGGCTCCACGGGCAGACAAGGTTGTGGGTCAGAGTGGGGTTCACTACAGCCTGGATCAGGCACAGACTCGACTGGGATTTCAGCCCCGCACACAGGGTTCTGCCCTGACTTGGGGACAGTACCGGGCCTTTCGGTACTCACCGCCTGCTCTGGGGGTGTCCACTCGACATCAGGGGATTCAGCCGTCGGAGAGTCAGCGCTGTCCCTAGCCCAACGTCTCCTTAACTGATCTATGTGGCGCCGCCATATTCGACCGTCAGCTAACTGCACCACATACATTCGAGTACCCACAGAGTCGGATATAACCCCAGGAAGCCACAAGTGCCCGTTTGCATAATTTCGTGCGAAAACCTTGTCCCCTTTTTCAAACATGCGCACCTTCGGTTGCGCAGTGGTACGCTCGGACTGATCTTCTGTGAGGTCTGGGTGCATTCGGTTCAAACGGGTCGTGAGTCTCCGCCCCATTAACAATTCGGCCGGACTACGGCCTGTAGCACTACAGGGGGTGGTGTGCTGCAGCAAAAGAAAGGAGCCCAGCCTCTGGCTCCAGTCCCCTTCGTCCATTTTACCCAGGGCCTCTTTGGCCGTCCTGACCATCCGTTCGGCTTGGCCATTAGATGCCGGATGGAAAGGGGCCGAAGTCATTTGGCGTATGCCATTACTCGTGAGGAAGAGCCTAAATTCCTCAGACACAAATTGAGGCCCGTTGTCACTGACGATGACGTCAGGCAACCCGTGGGTGGCAAAAAGTCGGCGGAGCGCATGGATCACAGCAAGTGATGTGGTCGATTTCATATGCACGACCTCCAGCCATTTGGACATAGCGTCCACCACAATTAGGAACATTTGCCCTTGGAGAGGGCCAGCAAAATCTATATGCAATCTGGCCCAGGGTTTACCAGATGACTCCCAGCCTTGGGGTGTAGCTTGTGGGGGATCGGGTCTGACTTGCTGGCATTTGGGACACCCTCGTACCCATTCTTCGATCTCTTTGTCCAGCCCCGGCCACCAGACATACCCTCTGGCCAACGCTTTGGTGTGTACCATACCGGGGTGACCCTCGTGCAGCGACTCTAACACTCTCGTCCTGAGTTTGTCAGGAACCACCACCCTGTTCCCCCATAATACACAGCCCTTAGAAATGGATAGTTCATTTTGACGGCTTTTGTAAGGGCCGAACTCCGGTTCAACGCTTCCAACCGGCCACCCCCTCCAAACCCAGTTTAATACTCGGGACAGCACGCTATCCTTGGCCGTGTGTGCTGCAATGTCCCTGGATGATACCGGGGGTCGAGGAAGCTCCTCAATTGCCAAGACCTCACAGGCGGGGGCAGGGTCTGCGCCAATGTCCGGCACCGGGCACCGGCTGAGGGCATCCGCATGCCCAATCGCTTTCCCAGGCCGGTGCTCTAAGTCAAAATCATAAGCCTGCAAAAATATCGCCCATCTAAGCATGCGTGGGGACATGATGTTTGGCAATTGCTTATCGGGCGCAAAAATCCCCAGTAGCGGCTTGTGGTCAGTGACCAGCAAAAATCGTCTGCCAAAAATAAAATCATGGAACTTTTTGACAGCCGCTACCAACGCCAGACCCTCCTTGTCTATCTGGGCATAGTTCCGCTCTGCCGCAGATAGTGATCTAGAATAAAAAGCGATAGGCGCTTCGCTCCCATCAGGCATCAGATGGCTTAAAACTGCGCCTACTCCAAACGGTGAAGCGTCAGCAGCTAACACCAGGAGCTTGTGTTCATCATAATGCGTGAGTACGGCATTAGATGTCAGCAGCTCCTTGACTCCCACAAAAGCCTTTTCCTCGGCCTGCCCCCACTTCCATTTTGCCTCCTTGTGCAAAAGCGCGTGCAAAGGGGCCGCCACTGATGCCTTATGCGGTAAAAACGCATGATAAAAATTCAGGAGTCCTAAAAAGGATTGGAGCTCCTTCTTACTCACCGGCCTGGGGGCGTTTTGGATTGCAGATACCTTCTCATCCGTGGGGTGGACTCCCTCTGCGTCAATGCGAAACCCCAGGAAGTCCACACTTTCCACCCCGAGCGTGCATTTTGAGCGCTTAACTCTGAGGCCGGCATTTTGAAAACGCCTGAGGACCTCTTTAACCCGGTCCAGTAGTTCCTGTTCAGACCCGCCCGCAATCAGCACGTCGTCAAAATAGGGCACTGTGCCAGGTACCCCCCTTAGTAGACGTTCCATGAGGCCCTGAAAAATCCCAGGTGCTACGTTGACCCCGAATTGCAGCCTGTTCACTTTAAAAGCCCCTTGGTGGGTTACAATTGTTTGGGCCTCGGCAGCCTCCGGGGTGACAGGCAACTGCTGGTATGCCTGGGCCAGGTCAAATTTGGCGAAAATCTTGCCACCCCCCAGGGAAGCCAAAATGTGGCTTATTACCGGGACCGGGTACGAATGTTGCTGCAGCGCCTTGTTAATCGTACATTTGTAATCGGCGCATAGTCGTATGGACCCATCTGATTTGACAGGGGTTACGATCGGGGTCTCCCATTTGCTGTATGGTACTGGCTCTAAAACCCCTTGCTCAACTAGTTTGTCAATCTCTTTTTCCACCTTATGTTTGAGAGACACAGGTACTTTCCGATACTTCAACCTAATAGGTTTGACTGACGGATCTAAGTCAAACGCAACCGGGGGGCCCTTGTACCTTCCCAACCCTTCGGCAAATACATCAGGGAACAGGTCGTACAGCATGCCCCATTTATTTTCAGACATCCTGTTAATCCCAGAAATACCGATGCCCAATGGCTCAAACCAATCTAACCCTAGCAGGTTAACCCGGTCTCCCTCTGCAATCAGGAATGACAGTTTAACACATTTCCCCTTATACTCAACAGTAACAGAGTCCCGTCCGGCCAAGGGAATTCGGTTGCCCTGGAAGTCGGACACTCTGGTTCCCGCAGGCTGGAGCCGCCGCCGGCTTCGGTTCGGGAACAACTGGCGCCAGGACGCGGCAGAAATCACCGTCACGGACGATCCTGAGTCCACCTCCATTGTACAGGGTCGGCCGTCGAGGAGTGGAGTCACGGTGATCTTGCCCTGGCTGCTGGTGCGATTTACGGCCGATGCGCTCGACAAGGTCGCCGTCAACTGGCAGCTTGCTTCCGATGCTGAGGAACGGGTCTTGCCTTGGGTGCTGACTGGAGTGCCCCTCTGCGCTGACCGGTTGTTAGTTGAGGGATCCTTCTTCGCTGATCTGCAGACTCTGGCCAGATGACCACGCCGCCCACACGCTCTGCAGTCGACATCACGAGCCCAACAGGAGCCGCGCTGGTGCTTCCCGCCACAACCGGAGCAAGGCTTGACGTTGGTAGTCTTCGCTGGGGTCCGCTTGCCTCGAACCGCGTTGACGTCATCATCCGCGTCTTCGCCCTCGCTGTCTCGTTGAGCGTGTATACTGGGCTCTGCCACCCGCTGGCGGACCTCCTTCGTGGACTTCTCCGCTGCTTCCGCGGCCACGGCCTCTTCGTAGGCCACTGCCCAGGTCAGGGTGGTGCGGGCGAACAGCCTCTGTTGCAGCCTTTCATCT